CTAAAAACAAATATTTTTTCTGTTTATCTTGGTGAATATCAAATCTCAAGTCTGATTCTTTCAATAGGAATGCTGTCAAAACTTTAAAATATCAGCTATATTTTTTCTGTGTCAAAATTCAGTACTTGTTCCGCTACTGTTCAAGCACAACACAAGTCCATCATTGATGTCCTGTAAAACCTATTGGACACTGTGAAAAGATCTGACAGGTGGTGTAGATTTGACACCTGAGCTAGCGTGTACTCCGTCAGGGGCCAACCAGTTTTGATGTGTTGATTTTTGGCGTGACTTGAGTGAAACACAGGTGAGGTGCAGAAGGGAAACTTAAACCTCATGTTACGTCTGTTGACATACTCATCAGCTGAAATGAAAGATGGAGAAGTTCTTTAAGACGAAACTGAAAGGGCTTATGGGGAATGTTGAAACTACTAGTACATCCACTGAGGAAAAACATAAGTTATCTGAGTTAATTGGTTGTATTATTATCATTTTTGTTTCTCATTTATATTTTCATTTTTACAAAAATTACTGTTTATACATTATCTTCTTTCACTGACATAGAAACTTGAGACTCACATCCCTGCTCTCAGAGATCTGTTAAAAATATAATTCCAATTAAAACTGTATATACTATGAGGTCAGTGATGCACTATCAAATGTTGAATGACTGTAATAAAGTTTGAAACAGGTATATAAAGTATATAAAGATGCTCATTCTTCAATAAAAATAGAATAAATCCAAACAACATTCTTATTTGTTACACTTTTTTCTTTTACTTACTATAAATGGAAAAAAGCTGTACTTCACAAAGTAAAAAGTCATATATATATAATTTAAAAAGTTGGCTAATGATAAAAAAAAGTACTTTCTACCCCATTTTTCCCACAGCAGCAGAACCATCTGTCACATCAGCCATTCCTCTTCCCCTTTGTCTAGACTTCTATGTCTATCAAATCACTACTGTATATAGTGCACCAAGGTCAAATAGTGTATCTCTCTTATCCATATGTTTCAGAGTAATGAAAAGTTAGGACTGTCGCCATAGCAATTAACAATTCAAATTACAATTCCTTTTGAATAGTCAGCCATTCTCAAAATGGCACCATACAACAGGAAGCTGAAACCCATGAAAACTACGCGGCCATGCAGACTTATTGGTGAAAGTCCACCTGGGGCCGTATGGTATGGGATCTCTTCAGTCAGTGAGCCGGTGAGTCACTCTGTTGCCGTGACCACTAAATCAAAGACCTATTTGAACAGCTGCATTCCTTCACACTCCTCCATCCTCTCCCTCTCTCTGGACATGCCCCAGTCCTGAGTGGAGTGTAAGCCATCGACCTAAGCCCCTCTCTGGACCTCTCTGCACCTCCTCTGCTGTGATGGAGATGGGGGCTAATGGAAAAAGATTGCGAGAGCGAGTTTAGTCACTGGGGCTGACAGCGGACAGGTGTCTATTAGGGGCCAGGCACACACATTAGACAAAGAAGTCCAGTCAGGCTGCACATATGTGATTTATGGTGCGCGGACAGTGATGGAGCTTTTACACTTACACAGCATCACTTCCACACGAGCATTGATCATGGAGTCTTTAATCATCGCTGACAGCCAGGGGAATAGTATGGGCAGGTCAGACAGAGAGCTCGCATAGATGGATTATTTGACTGTAGAAATAGTATTGTATTAGCTTCAATTAGGGAGTGGGTGCAGTATGTATCTGATCCCATGTTCAAATTGAGTATAGCTTCTGCTGATAATTTTTTTTTTTTATTTATTCTTAGTTACAAAAACATGCTTAACTCTGTTTGGTTCAAACCTAAAATAACTTTCTCTGATCTGAATCCTCACTACTTAAACCCCAGCACCAGATGAGGCACGGTCTGTCTATATACTGAGAATGAGAAAAACTTGTACGTGTCCTCTACCTGAAGGTTAAGGCACAAGATTTGTTTTGACATGTTGCCACCACCTACCCCTAGCTTTTTTTTTTTTTTTTTTGAAACTTATTCTTTTCCAACGTTTATGCACATCTTAATTACTTAAAATAAATGTAACTGCTTTGAAACAAGCTGTTTGTTCCCAAATAAAAACATATCTCATATTGTCCCAGATTGTGAGAAATGACCATCGTTGAACATATCCTGACAGATGATCTGCAGATGAAGACATATCTATGAGTGAAGCGCAGCTGTCATCACACAGACAGAGCCAGTGGAATTATGGGGGTAATAAACGTGTGACAGTGGAACATCACACTAGATTGAGTTTAGATTTCTCCTCAGTGTAATATCCACAGCAGCTGATCAAACTCAAGCACACATTATTGGAAAGACAGCCCTGAGATCTGACAGACAGGTGCGCTGATGTCATTTCATAAAATTCAATGACGAGGATAACATCCACTGAAAACAACATCTGTATGGTCTGAATATTGATGGCCTCATAGCATAACAGTCTTTTTTTCTTTTACTTTCTTTTTTTGAGCCAAATTGAGTTTTTGGTCTCATTCACTCCAGATCTTATTGCATCTGGAGGTATCATTGGATCTGTCCTTAGACAATCAAAATGATTTTTACAACCCAAAAAACACAAACAGCCCAAGTGATCTCATTGAATGTTTATTTTTCTATTTTCCTTGAAAGCCTTGAAAAATGACACAATTATTTAAGGTAAAAATCCTCCATCCTCCAAAAGTCCTGCACAAACCTAGCTCAAGATCTGGGGATGGGTCCATTGGCCTGACTGCTGCTCGCAGGTTACCCCAATGGCATTTTAGGATGGGTCAAATACAGAGGAGAGACAAATTTCCTCACAGGGACAGTAAATGCTAACTTAACCCGCTTTCCCTCACATATTTTGAGTTATGAAATTCATGTATCATTTCACTCTTTTTAATTGTGGCACAACTTCAGCCAATTGTTGATTTTATTTGTACATTTATTTATTTCAGAAAATGTAATAAAAGACACAACATAAAGGCATCTCCAAACTGGCAAGTTAATGTTACAGACAGAATATATTTTGGACAACAACTAAGTGAAGAAAGTACACAACAGTTTTGTTTTTATTCACACAATTTGACAAAACACATAAATGCACCCAATTAATCTTTACTGCACAAACTCCTTGCCCACTATTGTTTCAACCTGGAGACACAGAATTGATTATAGCAGGCCAAGTTACTGACCAGATCTGTGGAGAGGATACCCCACTGACTTGTCGGTTTGGGGTATTTTGACCAGTAATTGGCATCCATAATACAAAAAATGCAATAAAGAGATGCTTAATGTTCATATTAATATAATGTTAATATTCCAAGCAAAACAACAGTATCCTCGTGGAGACCAGCAGGTGACGGACCCAACACGGAAAAAGTTATGCAGTGCACCTTTAAATGCATGCACGTACTATTTACAGAAAACGGTCATGGCTGGATTACTGTGTATGTGAAGTAGTATCAAATGGCTGCACGCAGACAAGCAAGGAGACTGACCACAACATGCAAAACCACACCAGGAAGCTGTGTGCCCTTTTACAACACGAGTCTCACATGGAATAGTTTGTGGCTCTTCCAAATGTCCAAAACACATTTCATCAAACTGAGCCAGTGGAGTCTTCCTCTGACTAACTGCCCCATCATCCGGCAACCACTTCCAACTCAGCTCCTCGTGTCTTTAGTTTCATCGTGTTTTTAAAAATGTGAAATTCTAGATCTGTGCATCAGAAGGATCTTTGAATATGTTGTGAGTATCACAAACAGCTCTCATTTTGTGGTTTTCTGCTAAATTGGCTGGGCAAACGGATAGAAGCCACTAGAGTGTAGGATCAAACAGGTAGGATTACGTCAAAGTGGCACAAAACCTTGCTTCGTCACTGGATTGGTCAGGTTAAATTAGCACTATGTGAAAGGAGAGGAAGCTGTGTGAAACCAGTCTACAACTATCAAACTCTGAGCCAACCACAGCTTAAGAATAATGGAAACACAAACTTGGCGAAACTTTGTGACATAAACCAGTAGAGACATTTGAGTGGGATTTGATAAAGACTGCATTCTGTTATCCGTTTTTGTAATAAAACCTTTTTGTGTGTGTTACTAATTATACTAAATTAGCCTATCTAGATGATGCAACTGTGATACTGGCCAGATTTATCAAATCCATACAACAAAATCCATAATATTCTGCTCCAAAGTTCCATATTTGCTCAAAGACAAAAATATAAATACAACTTTGTTCTCTGTTCTACAATTGATTGTGTTACACAATTGTGTGATTTCTTCACTTCTAAGTCTCTGATAAGATGATGCAGTAATCATTAGATTGATTTTTTTTCTTTTTCTCAGAACGGTGGATATGGTGGAATCTTGGGTCCGGTTGTGGAGTCTTTGAAACAGCCACTTCTGGATGAATGAGGGAGACAGAGTTACACTGTAAACCGTATCTTTGACTCCATATAGACTATAATGCAACTTCTGAAGCACCTCTCCCAATT